GCTATCGCTATATGCTGTGACCGCTATCGCTATATGCTGTGACCGCTATCGCTATATGCTGTGACCGCTATCGCTATATGCTGTGACCGCTATCGCTATATGCTGTGACCGCTATCGCTATATGCTGTGACCGCTATCTACTGTGATCAATACTTGCGGATACTCGGCTGCTGCCGCCACCAGGAAGTTTTGTGAGTGATTTATGGAGATGCCAAGAGAGATTGTTGAACGAGAGGGACTACTCCGGCAGTCAAAGGTGAGGCGCACTGCGAAGAAGAACTCCGACGCCACTTGACCCCTGAACAGCGCCAGTGGTCGGGGTGGAAGGCAGCAGCTTGAACGCGACCGGGATGACGGCCTTGGAGAGCCAGGAGCCGGGGCCGAAAGTCTTTATCAGCCTGATCGCGTGGTCCACGGTAGCGGACTGCAGGGAGAAGGGCGCTGGAGGGAAGGGGCTGTTGATGCTCGGGCGGGCCCGGAGCGGGGACAGGAGAGGACGAGTATGAGACGCTTCTTCCTGGAGTGCTTGCGGGTGGCGATGCCCATCGGGTTAGAGCGAGACGGAGAGAAGGGGCCAATGACGTGGCCCACGGACACCTCCCGCGCCCGAGCCGCGTGCCGACTTGGGGCTCACGGAGAGCCGGGAAGAGGTTGCGGGACACGAGACGCCGAGGGACCTAAACAGAGCCTGCAGTCTAATGTGAGGGATTTAGATAGAGCTTGCAGTCCAAAGTGAGGTATTAAAACTGAGCCCGCAAGTCCAAGTGAGGCGTTTAACGGAGAGCCTGCAGTCCGGTGTGAGGGAGTTAAACGATGTGAGGGATCCAACAGAGCCTGCAGTTTTTTATTTTTTATTTATTTAGTTATATTTATTTATTTATATATATTTATTCATATTTATATTTATTTATATTTATTTATATTTATTTATTTTTATATATAAGCGTTCCAGATATAAGCAGTACCATATATGCAGTTCCAATATGAGCAGTTCCATATAAGCAGTTCCGTATACAAGCCGTTCCATATATAAGCAGTTCCATATATAGCAGTTCCATATATAGCAGTTCCATATATAGCAGTTCCATATATAGCAGTTCCATATATAGCAGTTCCATATATAAGCAGTTCCGCATGAAGCAGTTCCAGGTACGGTATAACAGCTCCAGATATAAGCAGTTCCGTGCGGGATTAACCTGGGAGCTCGCAGTCCAATGTGAGGGATTCAATTTGGGAGCCGCAGTCCAGAGGGATTTAAACGGGGCTTGCAGTCCAAGAGAGGGATTTAAACAGAGCTCGCAGTCCAGAGAGGGATTTAAAGAGAGCCTGCAGGCCAAAGTGAGGGATTAAAACTGAGCACGCAGTCCAATGTGAGGGATTAAACTGAGGTCTTGCAGTCCAATGTGAGGAATAACGGAGCTTGCAGTCAGAGTGAAGGATTTAGACGGAGCTTGGTTAAGAGAGCCTGCAGAACAATGCGAGGGCTTTAAACTGAAGCTTGCCCACCAATACACGGGGCCAACTGAGCCTGCAGTACAAAGCGCGGGGCGAACTGAGCCTGCAGTACAATGCGAGGGGAATAAACCGTCCGCATACTTACCCACAACGCCAGAAGACAAGGGACAACACAACGGGACCATGCCGTACCGGCACGAGGAGGCAGGGATGCGCACAGCTCCCACCGCACCGGGCCAGACCGGCCGTATGCAGCAGCAGGCCGCGACGAGACGAGCAGCGGCGAACCCGCAGAAAGAGCCCGCAAAGGAGGAGAGCGGCAAAGACCCACGGGCCACAGCACAAGACCCGCAGCAGGTGCAGCGACGCGGAGGAGGAGCAGACCACACGCAGCAAGACAGAGGACAGCAGGGACCGCAGGAGTAAGCGTGAGTAGACAAAGCGATTCCTCCAGAACGATTCATGCAAGGCTTCAGAGGCCGAGAGTGGGAGTTTCTCCGTTTTTATGCGGCTGGCGAGTCGGTACAGATGATTGGAAGGGGGCGTCTGCTGAGCGATAGGCTGGGGATGCGAGCCGGCCTGGAGGGGGTAATTTTGGTTAACGTCTACCAAATTGAATTTTCGCTGGCTGCATTAGTAGTAGTAGTAGTAGTAGTAGTAGTAGTAGTGGTTGTCCCCTCCCTCTGGGTCACATCCCCAGGATCTCGCACCAGTCCATCTTCCCCGGCGGAGCGAGGCAGGATTCTCTGGCAATAACACCAGGCCAGAGTCAACCAAGAGGCATAATTTTTTTTCTCACTCGATAACTAGAATATATAAAAAAATATGTGTATATATATTTTTTAAAGTAGTAGTAGAAGATGGTAATAATATTAGATGGTTAAATACAATTTAATTAGAATATTAATTTCAACAGTATCAGACCCAGCCCTATTTTAATATTACTATTGTCAAACGTTTAAATAGTTTCCACTGAGTTTCAAAGCCGCTGTTTCAAAAGGCAGAGCTGGTTTGTCCGAGTGTTTCTACTTTTCACTTTCATAAGGTTAAATCAGATTCCTCTCGCACTTTTCAAAACAGCCACGTTGCGTTGGGGCCGAAGTTATTCAGAGAGATATGAGGAGCAGATAGCATCAACCACAGAATCATTTCAGACTGTATTTAAAGCTATGCTCCGTCCTTGGACTCTGCATGGAAAGTACTGGCTGTTAGCGACGGTGGCGAGGACACAGAGTCAAAGCGCAGGAGTTGGCAATTAACGGAAGTAAAAGAAAGAATCAGAAGTTTTCAAAGTGAAGAATGAGAAACAAGTGTAAAGAAAAGTGAGCAACCAGGGCTTTAGAAGTACCGTAGTAGTAGTAGTAGCAGTGGTAGTAAAAAGAGCAGTAGTAGTAGTAGTAGTAGTAGTGGTGGTAGTAGTAATCAGAGCAGTAGTAGTAGTAGTGGTAAAGGTAGTAGTAGTAGTAGGCAAGGCAAGGCAAGTTTATTTGTATAGCACAATTCATACACAAGGCAAACACTCAAAGTGCTGAACAAAACAAGAAAGCATTAAAATCATAAATAATCACAGAACATTAAAAAGAAAGATAAAATATACAATCCCTCAGTTGTATGTACAGATAAACAAAACTGTTTTAAACCTGGTTTTAAACATTGCCAGAGAGGAGGCTTGTCTCACATCTTCAGGAAGACTGTTCCAGATTTTAGCAGCATGAATCTGAAAAGCAGCCTCCCCATGTTTAGTTCTGACTCTGGGCACTAACAGGAGTCCAGTCCCTGTGCTCCTCAGAGTCCGGGCTGGTTCATATGGGACTAACATGTCACTAATATATTTTGGTGCGAGGCCATGGAAAGACTTGTACACAAGCAGAGCTGTTTTAAAGTCTACTCTCTGAGCCACAGGAAGCCAGTGCAGAGACCTGAGAACTGGACTAATGTGGTCGTACTTCCTGGTTCTAGTCAGGACTCGAGCTGCTGCATTTTGAATGTACTGCAGCTGTTTTACAGCCTGTTTGGACAGACCTGTGAGCAGGCCATTGCAGTAGTCTAACCTACTGGAGACAAATGCATGGATAAGAATCTCCAAGTCTGCTTTAGACACTAGGTTTTTGATCCTGGCAATGTTTTTTAGATGGTAAAAAGCTGCTGATGTTACTGATTTAATGTGGCTATTAAAATTTAAGTCTGAGTCCAGTATTACCCCTAGATTTCTGACCTTATTTGAAGGTTTTAGGGAGAGAGACTGTAGGTGACAGATGACGCTCTCTCTTTGTTTCCGGGGACCAAAGACAATCATTTCAGTTTGGTCTGCGTTTAGCTGAAGGAAGTTGTTTTGCATCCACTCACTGATCTGTTGGATACAGTGAAGGAGTGAGTCCACTGGTCCATGTTCTCCTGCAGTCAGTGAGACATAGATCTGAGTGTCGTCTGCATAGTTATGATAGGAAACTTCGTTTCTTCGTATTAACTGACCTAACGGCAGCATGTAGAGATTGAACAGAAGAGGTCCCAGGATCGACCCCTGTGGTACTCCACAGGTCAGGGCCATATGATCTCACAGTTTCCAATCTCCACAAAGTACTTCCTGTCTTAAAGGTAAGACCTAAACCAACTTAGGGCGGTGCCAGCGACTCCAACCCAGTCCTCTAATCTCTGTAAGAGGATCTCATGGTCGACGGTGTCAAAGGCAGCACTCAGATCTAACAGGATTAGGATTGAGACTTGGCTTGCGTCAGTGTTCGACCTGCGTCAGTGTTTAGTAGTGGTAATATTAGTAATAAGAGCTGTAGTAGTAGTTGTTATAGTAGAAGTAGTAGTAGTAGCATTAGTAGTAGTAGTAGTAGTAATAAGAGCAGTAGTAGTAGTGGTAAAGTAGTAGTAGTGGGCAAAGCAAGTTTATTCGTATATTACAATTCCATACACACAGCATCTCAAAGTGCTGAACAAAACAAGATAGAAACAAAACAAAGTATTTAAATCATAAATAATCGCATTAAAAAGAGTGAAGAAAAAAATCCTTTAGTTGTTTTGCAGAAACAGAACTGTTTTCAACCTGGATTTGAACAAGAAGAAGCCTGTCTCACATTATCAGGAAGATGGTTCCCGGTTTTAGTTGTGTAAATCTAAAATGCAGCCTCCCCATGTTTAGTCCTGACTCTGGGACCAGCAGGAGGCCAGTCCCGTAGTTGTAGTGATAAGATCAGTAGAAGTAGTGATTAGTAGTAGTAGTGTTTATTGACAACCTTCCTTTAGTTATTATTTTAAATTGTCTCCAAAACCGGTAATTTTCTACTAATACGTTTAACCTAAAACACACAAAATAATCTTAATAATTTTCAGAATTTTTTTCTTTGTCCCTAATGAACAGTTTAGGATTACCTACGGATTCCCAAATACTGTAGTTTTGATTTAAAAAAAGCTTCCATATAAAACAAAACAAAAACTGAATATTTGGGAAAAACAGATTGTGTTTGTTAGAAAAGGCATCAGAGCAAAACCACACGTGTTATGAGACAGAAATCTACCAAACGTTATCCGAATCTCACCGCAGCTTGAGAACCTCCGGAGGCACCAGCTCCAGCGTGTGCGTCGGTCCGTACAGATTCACCACAAACAGTTTGACCACAGGGTTCGGCTGCCCGGCCTGCAACACAACACAACACACACTTATAACACAAGAACATACACGACATGCTCTTCAATGGACTGACAGGATCCAGAACATAATAGTAAAGAGGTTTATCTGTCCTCTCAGTTCAGCTTTCAATGGGGACAACGACAGTGTATAGAAATATTGTACGTTCTGGACTATAAGGAGCACCTGTTTATAAGCCGCACCACCTCAAGAAAAAAAGAAAATAAATTCTGTCCAGAAATAGACCACACTTGATCATAAGACATTCTATGACTCATTCACCGTTAGCTTCCATGGCTCGTTTACTGTTAGCTTCCATGGCTCATTCACCATCCATTTTGACAAAAAACAAGTGTTTTGTAGCTACTAAAACTTGATGGAGTCATAAAAATAAGTCCATAAACTCTGCTCTGACAACTCACAATACAAACGTCTATTCACCGCATCACTATATAAGCCGCAGGGATCAAAGAACAAGAAAAAACTAGTGGCTTATAGTCCGGAAATTACGGTATGTATTGTAGTACGTGCTGGACTATAAGCAACTACCTTTTCAAGTTGTTGAAACCCGGGTTATTATATACCATCCATCCTCTTCCCCTTAATCCATTGCTGGGTCGGGGGGTGGCAGTCAGAGCTGCACCCAGCACACAGAGCACCAGCCCCTCACTGATCCTCCTGCAGGTGGTGAGTCCATAGGAGCCTTGATCTTTCAGTGGGGGCTTCAGGCAAAGTGGGGTTAAATGTCTTACCCAAGGACACAATGACAGCAGCCATCAGCGGGAGTCGTGGAGTAGGTCTTATGATGGGCTCTAACCCACGACCTTCAGGCCTAAAGGCCAATGCTCTACCAACTGAGCCACTGTTGCCCCAATTATTATATACCGTAATTATTATTATATAAGGGACTTCGCTGTTGGCTGTTGATGTGGCTTACATCCCTACTTCAGTGTGTTTATGTGAACAGCAGAGAGAGGCGGAATAAAAGTTTATGGACTCATTACTTTGCCTCCATTGAGTTGAACAAATGCCTTCATTAGTAGATAAATGAAGAGGTAAGTATAGATCTAACCCAGAATTAATCGCTCTTTACCAACAGGTTGTGGATCTATAAAACTTTCAGAGAAAATGCTATTTTAAAGCTGGTCTTAAATACTATTAGATTTGCACATAACTGTGTCTGTGTGATGCATGGACCATGACACCAGGCCTAAAATAGCAGCTAATGATAGAAACAGCTCTGAGCAACACTTTGGTGAATACATTGAGAATCATTTGGTTCAGACAGTGTTTCGCAGGCAGCGTTTATCTCATTTGTGTAATTATATAACCTAATCTAATGTGGGAAAATTAATCCCATAAATTAATTAGCATTAGCCGTGTGGTAATTCTGGTATCTCAATATACTCTGAATATACAGCCTCCAAGAAACAACAAGATCCTCTGAGCTTCATTTAATATTGAGTAAAGACTGTGACAAATCCAGGCCTATTACCAAGATGAGGGAGTATGGATCGACCACAACATGTGAACTCTCCTTTCAGATGAATTGACAGAAGCAACAAATCTGTCTTTTTAATTTGAAGAGTGTTTCCTTGTCAGCAGAGGTCTATGTTTTATGGAGGACCAAAAATGACTAAAGTATAAATAAATAAATACAGGAATATATTAATAAATACATTCATTTTGGACAATAAAAAGTAAATATTTACATTGATGTGTTAAATATTACTATGAAATCAAATAAATATACTTTTATTTAGGTTATTTATCAAAGTCTACATTTTTTCCTTAATTTATTTATCCATTTATTGCATATATTTATTTATGTATTTCTACATTTCTTCATTAATCAGTTACCAGTTGCCAGTCCGATGTACGCTAAGCTTTAGCCTTCTCGGTTTGTGAGAGGATGTGAAGCTGCTGCTTGTTGAAGAGCGTCAGTTGCATCAAAGTCTACCTCTGGGTCAGCACTGTGATGAACTAAAACATCTAATAGTCTTTCCAGCCGAAAGAGTAGATAGTCCTCAGGTGCATTATGCTCAACATCATTAACATCATTTGCTAATGCTCTTAATTGATGAGCAATGGCTCCTAAAAAACTTACATTCGAAACTGCCATCCTACCACACAAAAGTGCACAGAGGATCTCTAGCTAGCTAACAGAGTACCGTAATGTGAGGCAGGAATGATCGAGACCAGAGTTCACGCAATCCTAACCAATCCTGTTCTAGATTGAGTTCAGCACCGCCCACCTAATTAGCATACAGGAACACAGAAATACATAAATAAATAAATGAAGAAATGTAGCGACACAGAAATACATAAATAAATAAATGAAGAAATGTAGAAATACATAAATAAATAAATGAAGAAATGTAGAAATACATAAATAAATAAATGAAGAAATGCAGCGACACAGAAATACATAAATAAATAAATGAAGAAATGTAGAAATACATAAAAAAATATATGCAATAAATGGATAAATAAATAAAGGAAAAAATGTAGATTTTGATAAATAACCTAAATAAAAGTATATTTATTTGATTTCAGAGTAATATTTTACATATCAATGTAAATATTTAGTTTTTATTGTCCAAAATGAATGTATTTATTAATATACTCCTGTATTTATTTATTTATTTATTTATTTATACTTTAGTCATTTTTGGTCCTCCATATACCGGTTTAAAAAATCCTAAAATTTGGCAAAATGTATCTTAATTTCAGCACATTCTGACGGAGCCATAAAACGAGATTCCCCAATGGGACAAAGCTAAATGATCTTGTTTTCAAAAGATACAGAAAGGTCTCCCTTGGAATGAGGAAATAAAGCAACCGTTATTGAAATAAGACTAAATGACTGTGAATGTGTCAGATTAAGATAAAAAAATAAAAAAATAAAAATACTAGATTACAGCAGTTATTACCTCAAATTTGATCATGTCTTGCAGTGTGCGCCTGTGTCCATATTCTATTGTCTTTCTGCGTGTGTTGTACAGTATGTGGTGGTTCAGACCTTGGGGTAGGGGTAGTGCTTGCCCCGGGGGTAGGTGGTCCCAGTGAAGCGGGGCAGGACCATGTTTGGGACCAGGCTGTCGTTCAGAACCAGGAAGGCCAGTCTCTCTCCATCAGGGGACCACCAGTGAGCCACGTGGGTCTCCAAGATCTCCTCTGTACACACACACAGACACAGACACGAACGCACATACACAGGCGCGCACAGACAGACATACACACACACACACACACACACAGACCCACACGCGCGCACACACACAGACTATAAGTTTACGACCTTGCAGAATTTAATAAAATAATATCCAGATAATTTATCCGTTTTTAGCTTTCGAAAACACAAATTGAGAAAGGACTTTTAGGAAGACAGTTCTTATGTTGCTGATTTCCTCTGCTAGAGCTTTGATTGCAGCCGCTGTTCCTCCCTGCACACGCTCAGTTCAAAGATAAACAACAACACTAAGACTGCGCATTAAAGGCGCGTTCAGACCAAAAGCTTCAAAAAGCTTTTGACGCGCTTCAACTGACGCCGGGATAGTTTTGTCATTTTGGTGCTTGAAGCTTTTGACGCGAGTGACGCGCCTGACGCCGGTGGGAGGAGCTTCTCTGTTGTCTGTAGTCAGGACAGCGGTGGATTTTTCAATGAGCAGCGAGCCTTTATTTGTTATATAAAGCAAAATAACGTTGTTGTAGGGCTTCAACAAAACATGTTCTGGGTTCACCACAGACTTGAGAGGCTGCAGTGTTTGCAGAGTTCCGTCATTTACTCCAGGAGCTGCGTACGGAGGAGTTTCGCTTTCAGCGGTACTTCCGCATGTCACTCGCCCAGTCTGAGTTCTCAAACCCCGGCTCTCGCCTCTCCCTGCCTCTCCCCGGCTCTCGCTCGCCTCTCCCTGCCTCTCCTCGGCTCTCGCCCGCCCGGAGCTGCCTTGCTCTGAGCCAGACCCATCGTCAGCCTGTTCTTATATTAAATAAACTACGTTTACTACACAGCATGTGTACAATGATTTTTGTTACTCAGAATGTTACTACTCATACAAATAATATTACTAATAACAATAATGACAATAAAACAACAGCAGCAGATACATGACTTCTCTTCATGACAGAGACAAACCCTCTGCTGCTGCTGCTCCTCGTCTCCTGATTGGTTGAAGCCCGCGTTAAAGCTTCAAAAGCTCAGCTTTGCTCAACTTCGGCGTCAAAGGGATTGTTGTGATACGCGAGCGTTTCGCGCGTCAAGTGACGCCGGGGCTCTCGGCTTCACCTGACGCGCTTCACCATTCACTTTCAATGGAAACCTGACGCTTTTGACGCCAAAGTTAAGTCCGGTGTGAACGCCCCTTAACAAATGCTATTGCTGTATTTCAATTTCAAACCGTTCCTAAAGATTATCCCGATATCTCTGCCGACAATCTGATAACTGCCCTAATGTTCTGATTCAACTTAAATCGATTCAAACCACATTAAATTCTCAAAAGAAGCTTCAAAACACGAGGCATAACGTCAGAGGAATTAAACTGCTTCTGTTGATTGGTTTCACAGCAAAAAATATTTCCTGTACTTTTTTAGGTTGTTTTCTTTATGTTTTTGTCTGGTGTAGGCCACAGACTTTTCCAATGAGGTTTTACTGCAAATGGCAAATTAAAGTGAATCTGAATCTGAGTCCATGAGAAAAGCTGTTGGATCTTGATGCAAATACGGGATATGTGCAAAAATGGGGTGTGTCCAATAACTGGATGTGTGCAATAACGGGGTGTATGAAATAACTGACTGTGTGCAATAACAGGGTGAGTGCAATAATGGGGTATGTGCAATAACAGGGTGTGCATAATAACAGGGTGTGTGCAATAATGGGGTATGTGCAATAACAGGGTGTGCATAATAACAGGGTGTGTGCAATAATGGGGTATGTGAAATAAAAGGGTGTGTGCAAAAACAGGGTATGTGCAATAACAGGGTGTGTGTGTGCAATAACAGGGTTTGTGCAATAAAGGGGTGTATGCAATAACTGACTGTGTGCAATAACAGGGTATGTACAATAACAGGGTGTGTGCAATAATGGGGTATGTGCAATAACAGGGTGTGTGTGTGCAATAACAGGGTTTGTGCAATAACGGGGGGTGTCAAATAACTGAATGTGTGCGATAACGGGGTATGTGCAATAAAAGGGTGTGTGCAATAATGAGCTGTGTGCAATAACTGGATGTGTGCAATCATGTGGACTCTAAAATTGTGGATCTTGGTGGACTGTGGTGTGTGCGGGAATGCAGGCTCTGTTGTTGTTGTTGTTGTTGTTGTTATTGTGTTTAAACATGTGACCCTGACCTTTTTGGACACAGATGGAAATGAGCCTTTGTCTATAATCTGGTGATGTTACTAATGTTCTGTTCCATTCAAATAAATAAATCCACAACTTTGTAACACAGCTGCTCTGACTGAATAGTAATAATGTAATAATGTAATATCTCCTCTCACCTTCGTAGATCCAGTCCGCGATGCCGTTGAAGATCACGCCCTCTTTGCCTGAAGACGTGAGCCTCAGAGAGTTACTCTTCACGTCCGACTGGTAGTAGATGTTGTTCTCAAAAATGTACATCTGAAAAAACAGAGTCCAAGTGAGAGTATATTTTAGTATTTATGTTTTACAAACATAGAAGGGGCTAATTTCTATATTGATTTATTACAGGGACAGTACATTTTAATGAACATTTATGTAAATATGCAAGAATTAGCCCAGCGGCTATTTTTCATCCGTAGTCTCCTTAAAGATAAAAACATGTAGACAGTTAAAATATGGCACAGACTGGTTGCCTCGCTTCTGTCAGTGTGCCCCAGGGCGGCTGTGGCTACAGTAGTAATTTATCTCCCCTGTATTTGGAGTGAGAAAATATTGACATGTGAAGATACTTTAAGGGTCCTGAAAAGAACGATGATGCATTAGTAGTATTATTATTATTATTATTATTATTATTGGACTTGTGCACACACTTCTTTAATTTGCACACACAGGTTGGATCAAATATAATTATAATTGACTATTTCTCATTCTTTAGCTACGACCAGCAGAGAAAGTAAGCAAGTAAATCATTCATGAACAATTACGTGGTATAATATTGTACTTTATTCAAACTGGAAAAAGCAGCAGGAGGAAGAAAAAGACACTATTACAAAACGTGTAAATGAACAACATGTGTTATTTACGAGAACAAAGCTCGATATCCCAGCTTTAAGTCCAAAGTCTAATTACTTTGATCTAACTTCATGAAAATGGATATGTATTAAGATTGATTGTGGTGCATTTGGGAACAAGAGATGTCTTTATCATTTGGATCAAGTGCTTTAGGCGTTGTCTAAGTCTAGGAGCCGTGATCTGTAAGTCTTTTAACATAATTTCAGCTTCTTCTTCCTCTGCATGAATCCCACTTGATGCAAGACAACAACAATAATGGCCTGAATGATTCACTTGAAAACAGCAGAAACTAAATGATTCAGTTTTACAGTGTGCAGCCTCATCAGCCACACAGCCATTAACAAGCAAAGTGGGCGCCAAGAATTCTCTGATTACAATTAATATTTAGTATGAATAAAATGAGCAGAGAGGCCCGATTCTCATTTGGAACTTTAATTTGCATTTTCCAAAAATAGAAGCCTCATAAAAAAAACAGAGGGACAAATTGAATTATGATTATTTCTGTTGTGTGGAGAATCTCATTTTGCCAATTGTAAAAATGTTATACTTCTTTATTATCGTTATGTTCAAGATATCAGAGATTATATGCTTGTTTCTTTGATGCTAGAGTTAGAGATTTTGTTTTATTTTAATTAGTATAGCTATTGTTTATTTATCTTGTCCTCATTCTTGCTGTTCTATAACTTGTGATGCAACACTGAAGTTTCCCCGCTGTGGGACGAATAAAGGCTTAATCTAAATCTAAAGATAAAAAAAAAAACACGTCAAGTCAAGTCAACAATGAGAAATGTCTGTAATTTGCACCGTAGGTTTACTTCAACATTAGAGTAAAATGTATAAGTATTTTGGCCCATTCCTCCCTTCAGATCTTCTCCTGACCGGTCTCTTCTAGAGTGGTGAGAAGGAATTGCACAATTGTTATAGATTTGGCCGAGGGAGGTTATCCATTTCTGGCCCCATGCTTGCAATCACCCTGAACTATTTCACATACGCAGACACGGGGAGAACGTGCAAACTCTGCAGACTCTGCTTTTTGCAGCCTAGTACATATCTGAATATAAGTAGTGAAAGTAAAAGTATAGGCAAAATAGCTCCTACAACTAAATTATTCATATGTGTTTGTTATTATTATGGGCGGCACGGTGGCTGAGTGGATAGCACTCTCGCCTCTCAGCAAGAAGGTCCTGGGTTCGAATCCCGGTCGGACCAGGGCCTTTCTGAGTGGAGTTTGCATGTTCTCCCCGTGTCTGCGTAGGTTTCCTCCGGGTACTCCGGTTTCCCCTACCACTAAAAATATGTCCAATAGTTCTAGCATGCGCCTCCTGTACTGGCGACCCCGCTCCCATCTCTATGTGGAGTGAGAGACTAATGCACAAAAAATTAACAATTGTAAACCGCTTTGAGACTCAGATCTGCAGTGAAAAGGCGGTATATAAATAAATACTTACTTACTACTTACTTACTATTATTGAACTTTCTGTGTTTAAACTTTCTGATTCTCTGCTCTGTCCCTGTATTCTGTCCCTGTGCTCTGTCCTGCTGCTCTGTCCCTCTGCCCTGTCCCTGTGCTCCGTCTCTGTCAATGAGCTTTGTCCCTGTGCTCTGTCCTGCTGCTCTGTCCCTGTGCTCTGTCGCTGTGCTCTGTCCCGCTACCCTGTCCCTGTGCTCTGTCCCGCTGCTCTGTCCCTGTGCTCTGTCCCGCTACCCTGTCCCTGTGCTCTGTCCCGCTGCTCTGTCCCTGTGCTCTGTCCCGCTGCCCTGTCCCTGTGCTCTGTCCCACTGCCTTGTCCCTGTGCTCTGTCCCGCTGCTCTGTCCCTGTGTTCTGTCCTGCTGCCCTGTCCCTGTGCTCTGAGGCATCTGCAGCGTGTGTCTCTGTAATGACTCCAGGGCGCTCAGACCTCTGACACTTTTGGCTTTTTACTGTCACAAACCTGGCAACGCAGAGAAACAACAGTGTGTGATTGGAAATTATTAGCATATAATTAGTGCTTCTCTGTTTTGAGAATCTGAAGGACACAGGAGAGGTGAAAGTCCACTTCAGAGACTAGAAAATACTGTTTCTTTGTTGCTACGAAGGATCGAAAATGTCGCAAAAAGCATATTTAGTCAGGAACAAATTCTTTAAAGTTCTCAAACTTAGAGGAATGAGAGATGTATGCACTGCAAAAAGGGATAAAATATGAGGCAATGCAAAATACAGTGGTTTTATCTTAATTTGAGAACATTCTGTGTTATAACAAGACTTCCATGACTAAAGAGTTGTGATAAATATCACTGACCAGCTGTTGCCCCTGCACCCCCCAGGCAGCGTACTGGAGCACCGAGTTCCCCACCTCCGGAGGGTCCAGCGCCCAAACCTCTCTGCAAACAACAGAACCAGGTGTGAAGCAAAACATACACTTTTTTATTAAAAGCATCTACAAAAAGCTACCGCTGTCAGATTGTACAATGAGTCAATCAATGACCTGCACTTGGACTGTAAACTGGCTATAGTCACTTTCATTTGAATTGCATATAAAATACCGTGCACAAAATAGACAACGAACGGTAGCATTCAAAAGTAGTATATGAATCATTCTGGGGGACTGAATCTTAAAGCGTCCTCTGGGTTTTGTATTGTTACAGTATGTGGACAATATTAACCTGGCCTTATCCATCTGTAAACTCCTGTCCATTATCATTTCCTACATGTGCGTCTGGGTCTGATCCTAGTGGCTGCAGTTTCCCCTCCGACCAATCAGCGAGCGGGGAAGGCGGTTGTTGTAGGTAGGTGTCGGTGATGTCAAGAGTTTGCTCTGAATTTGCTGGTTGAAGTTTGGAAACGTCGGCGAATGTGATAGTAAAGTAATCTGTTTTGGTTCAGCTCCAAATATCAAGAAATTGAAGCCGGAACAAAAGGAATGTTTAGCAAATGTTATTTCTGCAAAGATGTTGTGGCTCTACCCCCCACGGGCTCCGTTAGTGCCAGAGGCTAAATGCTAAAGCTAGGCTAAATGCTACATACCTCACTCACTTTGGCACATAACATACGTCACAGTAAACTCAGATCCAATCATTTCAATCTGCAAAAGGAGTTAACCCCTCCCACCTGTTAACAGAGCTCAATGAAGCAAATCCAGACGTTAGTACGAAATGTTAATGTGTACGAGGGTGTGGTACGACCAGGCCTGGACAATATCTACTTTCTCCCAAACTCTATCTGGTGTGATTTATATACAGGTGAATGTAATCCTCCAGAAAGTATTGGATTTGGTTTGAGCACTGACCTTGTGTGGATGTTGTAGATGCTGTATGACGCCATGTAGGAGTGACGATAAACCTGCAACACACACAACAGAACGAGGAATTAGGAGAAAGGTAAGAGTTGAAGTAAAAAAAAAAAAAGTGTTAAAGCTGAGTTACCAAACCTTGTCCACCGTTAGAAATCTGTCATGTTTGTCCCAAGAGAAAAGTGAGGATCCAAGACATTCATGGACATTGGTCTCTGCCCCTAATGGACCAATGGCTCTATGTGTTTTTTTTTTATCATTGCATTTCCTGTGTTTGAACCGTTTGATTCTCTGATCTCTGTTGGTGAATCCGCAGCTTTGTAAAGTCCTCTGAAATAACTACTGCTGTGATTTAGGGCGATACAAGATTCTTTAAAAGGTTAAATTTTGTGAATGAATCAAACCACAACGTGCCTAAGTCTTATCTCAATATCTTTTGTATACCCGTAAGAAAGACTGCTCGGAGTTACTATTTCAAGCTTCGGGATGACAGCTGATTAAGGTGGGTCAGGGGTGTCCAAACTTCTCAATGAGAGGGCCTTCTTAATTAATGAGAATTGTCTAGGGGCCGACAACCGAGATGGTAAAGCTGCTTTGATTGGATTCTGTTCCGAGCTTTATAATGAGTATGACATGTCCATAATTGAGATTGGACAAATGACAAACATGTACTATCTCACCACCTACAGAATCAACAACAGCTTTTTGACATAGCTGAAGTTGGCTGGATGACACTGTGAACTTGTGTTTAGGATCTCAATAGTGACACAGGGCCACATAACTTGACACAGAGGGCCGCAATTGGCTGATGGATGGGTTTTTTGGTCTATAGCTTCATTCTAGTAGGTTGGAAGTGAGGTAGCTCAACCCTACGTGCCTTTCGTTTATTCAGAATGCAAGGAAAAGAATGAAATACACAATAAAATGTGGCTGGTGCTTTTGGGCAGTTGCATTATTCACTCAGTTTTCAGTCACATCGAGCAAAAGCTTAAACGACATTTGAAGCCAAACTGCCCAGAGGCAAACTGACAAACTGTGCTGCAGCCTCTGACCAAAACAAATTCAGCACTTATTTAGTCTTTAACACGGTTCTTTCTTCAATATGTGGACGTTGACTTCAGTTTATACAGATGCAATCTTTACAAAGAAGCAGAATACGATACGATTATTGCTATTATTGCTACGATCATACGACCCTAACCATTGCTTTGAATCCCAGCACACAAGCTTAGGCTGTGTGTGCGTCTTTGGAAAGATACATCCCCAATCAAAAGCAATACGCTCAAATATTGCACAATATCTGTCACCAAGTCCCTGCTGTTTAATTTAGAAAAGTTGATAATAAACATTGTTCTCAGCCTGCAGCATGTTGTCGTTCAGGGTCAAATTTGCATTCGTCCAAATAGAATGTTTGTACTTAATCTAAATAACACAATATTTACTGTGCTGCTGGCTCTAAAACATTGAGACAATTATATGTGGGGCTAGTTAATTGTTTGTGTATGAATATTTGTCCAATAAGCAAAACAATAAACAGAAACCAAAGAAAATATGAAAACATAAATATTGTGTCTAATGTTTCGATCTTTATAAAAAAAGGAAGTTTATCTTATCTTATAGTCCAGGAGAACCCAGACACAGGGAGAACGTGCAAACCCCTCACGGAAAGGCCAACAGGAGTCAAAACCTTTAGACCTTAAAGTAGCAATATGCAAGATTTTAAAATAATTCTAATCATCAATAAAGGGCCCCAATTTGTCAAAATAATAGAACAGGCTCTTTTCAAATACTTCTTTAACTAATAACAGTAGTTCAGGGAAATGTGTGAGTAAAATGAGTTTTACAGCCCCTAAATTAGCCCCTTATTGTTTTCATTTCAATATCCTGCCCTCCACCGTTTCACCAATAAAAAAATCTGTAATCCGGGTTGCCAGATCTCACTGTGTCGAGCCAATCTCACTGGTAAAGTACCATGTGGCCGCAGAACTAAAAAAGGTCTCGTTATGATTCTCAAATCTTTATTAACAAAACCAGGAAGAAAACCAGAATTTCTATCTTTGTGAAAAAGTGTTGGTTATAGATTTGATGTTGACAAAGCTCTGGTCTATTCAGCTATTATGGTGCAGGTGGATTTGTCTGCATGTCTGGCAACCTGAGTCAGGGAGAGGTTGCAGCACCACTTTTGGCCATTTTTTTACATATTGCTCCTTTAATGTTCGCAGAAACATACTAATGTCTTTCCATAAGTCTATGTTCTAGTACTTTCTAGTTTATCCTTTTCTGAATCCACTGTGCTTCCCTCAATAATTCCCCTATACATTTGTTTTAAAATGTTGTATTAGTGGTTTAGTTATCTCTGCTATCTGTAATCAAGGCCTTGATATTGTGTCTGTTTTGCTTCAAATTCGAGGAAAAAAAACACCAAAAATAATACATGCTGAATTGTGCCTGAGAATGTACGTGGACATAAAGGATGGATGAGGAGGCGGCTGCAAAACCCTCACTGATGCTACAAACAATAGATTTAAAGTGGACCCAGAATGTGTCTTGTTCCCGAAAACCACAACAAATATTGATTTTAAACAACAAGTCTTCTGAGATCCATTAAAGACTCGGACACAACACGACGGTCGGTAAATATAAGTTCTAAAAGCAGAAACATCAAACACAAGCTGTGGTTTATCTGATCTAATGGAGCCAATGTGAACAGTTGATTTGCAAAAAAATTGATATTTATAATTGAAGAAATTGCCAAAACATTGAATTCCTCTCGCTACAATCTTCAACATGTTTAATTAATGGCAGTACCTTTGAAAAGAGTTTGAAAAGTATTATAAACATATTTATCTAAGGGCAAATTGTAAGCCTTTCAACTATTTTAAGCACATTTTGTATTCTTATTTTCCTTTTTGCATATGAATTATCAACATATTTTTTGCTTCAACTGCTGTAACTTTGAAAAACATGTAAAAAATACACAAGCAGAAATATCATTTTTTAAAGCAGAAATCATGGCAGACCATAATCCATTACTTTGTTCGGGTACTTTGAACACTGCAGCCTGTGTGGTAAATCCCACTCACATTCCTACATCCTGGTAAGTTTATGTGAACAGAGCCGCCAGAGCCAATACTGGGCCGGAACCAGAGCTTGTTTTTTTTATGTGAATAGGGCTGTTGTCAGTTAAAACCATTTCTTTACAAATGTATCTGGTGCGGTTTAAATACAGGTGCTCGACAAGTGGTTCTCAAAACTCATAAGGTCAGAATCTCCTGATGTGAATGCAGTTATGTGATGAATGAACTTTGGTTTAGGGTTAGGTTGGACTTTTGAACAATACTGTCACTGATTTTTCATTTTTGGTACGTCTGCACTTGTGTTGTGTGTCTTCACAAGGGCGACAGTTGGACTGGTAGAGCATTGGCCTTTGAGCCTGAAGGTTGTGTGTTCGAGCCCTCCACAAGACCTCCTCCACCAACTCCCACTGATGTCTGCTGTCGTTGTGTCCTTGGGCAAGACACTTAACCCGACTTTGCCCAAAGCCCCCGCTGAAAGATCAAGGCTATGCTCACACAGACAGAGCAGCTGTCCTCCTGTGGACTCACCACCTGCAGAGGGTCAGTGAGGGGCTGGTGCTATGAGACAGGGGTGGCATCTCTGACTGCCACCCCCCCGACCCAGAAATGGATTAAGGGGAAGAAAATGGATGGATGTATGGATGGATGGAGGGATTTCTCATTTCAATCGGACTAAAATGTAAGTATGCTAGTATGCAACTATGAACTATCTCACTATTTCCCATATTCTCACTTGGCAAAAAATTAAGGCTAATACATTTGGGGTAAAATATTGTACAGTATATTGTTTTTCATTACACATTCACTCAGAAAAAATAAAACACATATTAAGGTTTTTTAGATAATACGCTGTAAAGTACTTTGTCTTTGGAGGAAAAGGAAGGTCTGATTTCAGTGCAGGGGGAGAGGAGGAGGTGACAGGCCCATAGTCAATAACTCAGTTTGAAATGTTGCATTTTTTGGCTAACACAAGAAAATACGTTCATAAATATATAGGCTACATGTCAACGTTGAATATCGTAAATACTCTCCATAGGTATCTACAACTGTTAATAGTCTTTCTTCTTCCTTCTGTGAGTTAAGCCCACTCCTCTGCAGGACACAGTTTAGTGTTTACAGACATGAGGAGACGTGTTTGAGGTTTAGCCACAGGCAGAGCTACCTCCTCTGCACCGTGTCCGGACTTCACCAAAGGCTTTGTTTGAACCTGCTCCACGGGCCTCTCTCAGCAGGACAGCAGCGGTGTCTTTTCTCAGCTTTAGTGCTACTCACAAAATCATGAGCCACGACTGGAAATGGCTTTGCTCAGTAGAATATTTACAACTCACAATAAAGACATTAACCAATAACAGGAAGGTGGCCAGTTCTGAGTAGCGTAACAGATCTGTGTTTATTTATGTTTGCAAGAAAATATTGTAGCTGCAAGATTCAAAATTTAAACTTGGTTGATGTATGAAAAGGAACTAATACTTGCATTGAATTTGAACATGAAAATGTAGATTTGGCTATAAGACCCTGGCCTAAATACTGCATGACGTATGGCAGGAGGGAATCTAATAAGCAAGAGATAATGTATACAACTCAGGTCATCAGAGGCAAACAGTCCTGAAGGCTAACCGTAACTGAACACACAAAATTAACTTCAGTCCATTTTAATGACAGCCCTTTATCAGCCAAAAACAACCATATCTCCATAGCAATTGTTGCCATGACCAAAATGTAAAAGTCTTATCAATCAACAATAAAAATCAGCAAAAATGTCCTTGCATGCGAGTTAGAAGCAGGCGATCTGTTTTTTTTATGTTGGACTCCTCAGTTTATTTGGCGCAACAGGACTTTAGCAGGACCCTACGTTGTCAGCAGAAGTTTCAGACATTGCAGCAGTGGCACCTATATTCTAACAAAGATGTATGGACTCAGGGAGGACAGACAGGACCAGAGCTCACTCAGCTTTGGACTGTGGCGACTTCTGC